GGAGGGACAGCGCAGGAGGGGAAGACCCTCTATGAGATGGATTGATTTGGTGACTGGGGTAATCGGGATGGGTGTGTCAGAGGCAGTGCAGTTCGCGCAGGATAGAGCAAGGTTTAGGGCTGTTGTGCATAAGGTCCCATCTTTAAAACAAACAAACAAAAGTCTCATTTTCCTTTTCCAGGACATTTTTTAGCAGTGTTTCTATAGTATTTTGCACATCTGTGATTTTATTTGTTATCGATCTAACTGTGGCCTTGGGAAATTAGCAGTTCTTTCTGCAAGGTCTTTAGGTGTAGAGAATGCATATGATTGAGTTGTGCTGTAGAAAGCCGGCTAGCTAACTCTAGCTATAGGTGGTTATGAACTCTACAAATAAACATTAACATTGATAATTATTGTTGTTTGAGGGCAACAGCCAGTGCTCAACAAGAGCCTCAGCATATGCAGCCTTGGTGGCAATTTTAGGAAAGTAAGCATGTTGCGGACATAACGCAGGCAAGGGCATCCGAGGAGACTCCCGCCCTCACCATCATCCTCACATCCTCACCATCGTCCTCGGGCTCACTTGGGTCTTCACCCTCAGTTACAGCTTCAGGTTCCTCATCACTTTCGGATTCCTCCTCAGCCTCACTGCTCTCGCTTTCGCCTACAGGGACCATTCCAGGATCCTGGAAGTCGGTGGTATTCCCCCCACCTGTGGACTGCAGGCCCCCCAGGAGCAGCCAGCTGACCGTGAGCAACAACCCTGGGGAGCAGCCCGCACCCCCAGGGCTCATTCTCAACCCCAAAGGCAGCCTAAGGCTCAGTCAAAAGGTGGTAAGAAAAGATATGCGACGCCTTGCCACTCAGCTCAGAACCTCGAACCCCAGTGCTCCACCCAGGCAACCACTGAGGCGTCACCACTCGTCACTGCCTTCCAGAAGCTTCTGGTTTCAGAGTACGTGGAACATACACGCCAAGAATGGGCCCTGAGCCCAGGTCCAAGTGCACGCATCGTGGAGCCCTTGTTGGGGCAATTTCACCCTCACTGCACTCTGTCTTCAAGTGTCCTCAACGCAGCTGCCAGCTGCTCCTCTTTCTTCTGTGATTAGGGAGTTCAGGTATTAAGGTGTATTAAGGTGTATTAAGGTGTATTAAGCTGCCAACGTAAAGATACTGGTTCCAATCCACCAGCTGCATCCGTGAGAGACAGGTGGGCAATCTCCTCCCAAGCAATATACTGCCTCTGAAAACTCACTGATGGGTCAGCTATGGGTCGGTTCCGACTCAATGGTACTCCTCTTTCTTGTGCATCCCACTTTTTTTCTGTATTTCCAATTTTTTAAAAAAGATTGAAATAGACGACGGAGAGAACTGTATAAAAGTAATATATGATTAGATATTACTGTTATGACAAGAGTCCAGAATAAGAGCTGTACAATAAAGTGGTCTAGGGGGGAGGGGACAATGAAAGAACATTTTTCCAAAGAAAAAAGCGAACTTGGGGGGGGGGGCAGGGAGGAAAATGTGCAATATTGAATGAATGAAAATCCAACTTTCATTAAAATCTCAATTAAATAAAGAGGGGAGAAGGTTTACTCTTATGCAAACTAGACTTCCCCACCCCCCACCCCAGCACTCTAAGTGATCTGGTTTTAAAATTTTTTATCCAGATGCTACAGTTTGGTATTTAGCAGGAGGTAAGAAGGGAGCCCTGATGGGCTGCTAATCAAAAGAATCTGCATCCTGCTGTCAAGATTTACAGACTCAGAAATCCATCAAAGTCAGTGGTTTGGCTTTGGTTTTTAGGAGTGTTTCAAGGAAATTCAGAAGAATTTTAGGAGAAGTTGTTGTGTACCTTCAAACAGGAACTGATTCAAAACTAACTCTCCATCATATTTTCAGAGGCAGTAATTTCACTGAAGGAGATAGCCCATCTTTCTCCCGCAGAGTGGCTGAAGTACTCGCATTGTCTCGCTTAACACTGCAAGCACATCTCATTAACACTGGGCCATCAGAGTGCCCAAGCTAAATCCGTAAATACTTTCTCATTTTGATTTGTGTAGGATTTTGGGAAACATTTTGTTTCTTTGATCTAAACACTTGTTAATATAGCTGAAGTGTATTTCTATTTGAAGATCTTGCATAGCATTATCAATTTTGTGTGGAGTTTTATGAGACTGAGATATACTAAGTATCCATCTAAACTGGGTGGACAGAATGAAACTGTTGTCAAGTTACTTCTTCCTTTTTCCATATTTAAACAGCTAATCCCAATACTGAGATTAACCTTTATCTTTTTTAATTCTCATCTTCTTGGTTTTGTCCCTATTAGTATAACTACACTCCCTAATTTTTAGACTTTTGAGATTATTTTGAATGCTAATTTGTTGCCCACCATGTTAGAAATCTTTCTCAGCTCTGATTTAGAATCCATGTCATCTATTTCCTTCAAATAGCTAACAAAAGTGTTTTAAAAGGATACTCCTCACAGTATAATGTATATGAGGTCACTCTCTGAAGTGGTCTACTAATCTCCACTTTTATTTAATCTAAGAATAAGTTCTTTAATCAAAAAGGAGCCATGTCTCATAAAAGTTAAATCAGACTTAAAGAACAGCATTCTTGGAATTCCTTGATGAATCTCTGTAAATACTCATTTAACAGTGACTCCTGTGATATAAAGTTATCGATAAGGACACATTCAGTGAGGGCTTTTAGAGGGTCAAGAGTTCAAATACTGCATAGAAATGAGAGTTGTAAATTTTTATTTTATCTTGTTATTTCAAGTTTGTCTTGGTCTAGACTTTAGAAGAGGCAATTTTATTTGTAGAAGTGCTTGAGGTGCTCAACCAAAGGAGCATTTTAAAGAAATGGTTCAATGGTTTTACATTTTGGATTAAACAAAGCTGATCTGACTACAGCACAGGTTTTTTTAAATTCCATGACATAGGAGATGAAGAGTTATATATTATTTACTAAGTGATCTTGAGGCAACTTTTGGAGTTTCTGAATATTCATGCTCAGTTGACTAACAGGTAAACAGCTTAAAAAAATGTAGTAGAACATTCAGAGTCACTTAGTTCATTATCTGTCACAAAAGTAAAGTTTTATGTGAATATTTCTCTCATAAAGGCTTCTAGTTTTGAGAATAAAAAAAATTGTTAAAATTTGTCAGTATTAAACATTTACATTGCTAAGGAATCTCCGAGAGTACTTTATACCACAATAAAATAACAGCATTTTATACCACAGTAAAATAACAACAGTAAAATATTATAGTGCCTGCCAAAATTATGAGGGAAATTAAAATGAGCCATTAATAAATAATTTGGAAAAACAAAGCCTTTGTTTAATAGCCAATTTAAAGAACATACAGGTTTATTTTTTAAAATAGAGTATCAAACTGACTCATAGCTGACACCCTAGCAGGTTTTAAGAGGCAGTAAATTGCCCTAGAGGAGATTGCCCATCTCTCTCCTGTAGAGCAGCTAGTGGGTTGAAGCTATGTTTCTTTGTGTCCCAGAGCAAGTGAAAAATGATCCTTTCAAACACAAATTTTTTTTTTTAATTTACAATGCTGTCACAGACAACTGAATGCTTCAAAAGTGATTTTTTGGGCCCTTCTATTCCTAAAGACAGTTATCATTTGGAGCACAGAAATTTCTGTAAACTTTAAGGCAAGTAGTTTAACTCAGGAAAACATTAACACCTTAAATAGTCTCAAAGAGCATAAATGGAAATTAAGAATCTCAAAGAGTAGCTGAAAGACTGAATTCTAAAATGAAAAAATATTAAAATAATATCTACAAAACAACAGGGGAAATTATCTTTAAAGTATGATGTTTCTCATTTAAGTTTTAAGAAAGAGCATATCTATTCTTAATAAGCTTTAATCTCTCTAGTTGGAGACACAAGTATTGTTAGAGGCAGTTGAGTTGAGTGTGATTCATAGTGACCCTATGAACAACAGATCTAAATCATGCCCTCTCCTGTGCCCACCATCTCTGATACACTTGATAGTGTTATTGCTGCAGTAACTGTGTCAATACATCTCACTGGCGGTCTTCCTCTTTTTCACTGGCCCTTTACCTTTTCAAACACGACACCCGTTTTCAAGGAATAGCCTTTCCTAGCAACATAACCAAAGTAAGAGAGGTTAAACTTTGCCACCCTTGCCTCCAAGGATCACTCTGGCTACATACTTTCTGAGACATACCTTTTTGTTGTTTTGGTTGTCAATGGGCTATTCAGTACTCTTCTTCAACACCACAACTCAAAGGCATCAGCTGTTCTTGTCATCATTATTCATTATCCAGGTCTCAGATGCATATGAAGTGACTGGAGAGATCATGGCCTGAATCAGGCAACCTTATTCCTCAAACAGACATCATCACTCTTCAGTATTTTGGAGAGGTCCCTGACAACAGCCTTGTCCAAAACAGTACATCTTATGATCCCCTGACTGCTGGTACCAGGGGTGTTGATATGGGTCCAAGTAAGAAAAAGTCATTAACATTTTCAATCCTTTTTTCAGGTGTCATGATGCTGCCTGTTGACCCAGTTGTAAGGACCAATGTTGAGATTTGATCCATATTGAAGATATTTGATCTTCTGCAATACACTCTTCATGTCATCACCACAAGATAAAAAGAAGAGTAAGGTGTTTGTTCAGAAACACAGTGTTCAAAGAGGCTGACCTCACTCTGATCCCTGGTTACCAAGGGGGAGGAATTCATCCTCAATCTCTGATTTACTTTACTTCAATTCTCTCAGATTACCTCTTCCTGCCTTGCAGTGGTTCCCTCAACCCATATTTTTAGTTTCCAGTGAGCAGATATTAGAACTCAGTCTCCAATGACTTCTCTCCGTGTTTGTACCCAAACATATCTCACCTATCCTAGTCTGACCTTGATTTCCTTGAGTGTGTCTTGGTCTCACTCCTGGAATGCTTCTAGGTAGAAAAATCATTCCTTTATTCCTTCTCTACCTAGAGAATATCATGAACTGAAAAGGAAGACTAATTTGAAGATATTTTTGTGATATCAAACATTGCTACAGTCAGGCCTTTTAACTTTATACAGTCTTAACAGGCATGCAGAGTTATGTCAGCAGCTTTACCTTGCTTTAGTTCTGGAAAGCTATTTAGTGTGTATATTTGCAAGAATTTTTCTTAATACACAGCAATAGGATATAGGATTGGCTATCCTTCTGAAATTATAGGATTTTGAAAACCTTATGTACAATAGAGCACATTTGGACTAGCAGATATGATAGCAGATATACACAACAAACCATACACGACCTCAACTGCTTCTTATTATAATTATAACCTACAAGTTGTGCAGCATTTCTCAACCTCCTCCTTAATTAATATAAATTTTCTGTCCCCAAAGCTTCCCATATAATCGTTTTAATTGCTGTGGTCAGTTTTATCTCTTACAACTAGTTCTTTTTTTGAATTTTATTTGAGTAAACCTTGGTTGGTTTGCATACATTGTGCATTCATATACATTGTGTTTAATACTTTCTTTCATTTACATCGTGTTTCATATTTTCTTTATTCACGCTGTGTTTTATACAGTCGTTCCCATACATTGTGTTTCATAAAATTAGTCCCCACTGAATTATTCTCAATATTAAATTCTCTTTTCAGGTCCTTATCAGATTATTCCCATTTCCTTTACACACATGGACACACACACCCTCCCATTAAAACACATTCTACTTTCTCAATTTTTTTCTATAGAAAGTTATATTTTGGATGTCTTTTTATAATAAAAACCAATCAAACCCC